AAATGATAATTTTAAACTACCAAGGGTGTCTCAGTTTGACAAACCTGGGTTTAGCGGACTAGTACTTTCACTAGCCTCCGTTTACCGGACTACCACTTTGACTAGCCTCCGTTTACCGGACTACCACTTTGACTAGACCCCGTTTACCGGACTACCACTTTGACTAGCTTCCGTTTACAGGGCTATCACTTTGACTAGCCTCCGTTTACCGGACTATCACTTTGAATTGCCTCCGTTTACCGGACTACCACTTTGACTAGCCTCCGTTTACAGGGCTATCACTTTGACTAGCTTCCGTTTACCGGACTAGCACTTTGACTAGCCTCCGTTTACCGGACTACCACTTTCACTAGCCTCCGTTCACCGGACTACCACTTTGACTAGCCTCCGTTTACCGGACTACCACTTTGACTAGCCTCCGTTTACCGGACTACCACTTTGACTAGCCTCCGTTTACCGGACTACCACTTTGACTAGCCTCCGTTTACCGGACTACCACTTTGACTAGCCTCCGTTTACCGGACTACCACTTTGACTAGCCTCCGTTTACCGGACTACCACTTTGACTAGACTAGCCTCCACTTTGACTAGCCTCCGTTTACCGGACTACCACTTTGACTAGCCTCCGTTTACCGGACTACCACTTTGACTAGCCTCCGTTTACCGGACTGCCACGGACTAGCCTCCTACCACCGCCACTTTGACTAGCCTCCGTTTACAGGACTACCACTTTGACTAGCCTCCGTTTACCGGACTACCACTTTGACTAGCCTCCGTTTACCGGACTGCCACTTTGACTAGCCCGTTTACCGGACTACCACTTTGACTAGCCTCCGTTTACCGGACTGCCACTTTGACTAGCCTCCGTTTACCGGACTACCACTTTGACTAGCCTCCGTTTACAGGACTGCCACTTTGACTAGCCTCCGTTTACAGGACTACCACTTTGACTAGCCTCCGTTTACAGGACTGCCACTTTGACTAGCCTCCGTTTACAGGACTACCACTTTGACTAGCCTCCGTTTACAGGACTACCACTTTGACTAGCCTCCGTTTACCGGACTACCACTTTGACTAGCCTCGTTTACAGGACTGCCACTTTGACTAGCCTCCTTTACAGGACTACCACTTTGACTAGCCTCCGTTTACCGGACTACCACTTTGACTAGCCTCCGTTTACCGGACTACCACTTTGACTAGCCTCCGTTTACAGCACTACCACTTTGACTTTTACCGGACTACTTTGACTAGCCTCCGTTTACCGGACTACCACTTTGACTAGCCTCCGTTTACAGGACTACCACTTTGACTAGCCTCCGTTTACCGGACTACCACTTTGACTAGCCTCCGTTTACCGGCCTCCGTTTACCGGACTACCACTTTGACTAGCCTCCGTTTACCGGACTGCCACTTTGACTAGCCTCCGTTTACCGGGTTTACCGGACTACCACTTTGACTAGCCTCCGTTTACCGGACTACTGACTAGCCTCCGTTTACCGGACTAGCCTCCGTTTACAGGACTACCACTTTGACTAGCCTCCGTTTACCGGGCTATCACTTTGACTAGCCTCCGTTTACCGGACTACCACTTTGACTAGCCTCCGTTTACAGGGCTACCACTTTGACTAGCCTCCGTTTACCGGACTACCACTTTGACTAGCCTCCGTTTACAGGACTGCCACTTTGACTAGCCTCCGTTTACCGGACTAAAGGGCTACCACTTTGACTTCCGTTTACAGGACTGCCACTTTGACTAGCCTCCGTTTACAGGACTACCACTTTGACTAGCCTCCGTTTACAGGACTACCACTTTGACTAGCCTCCGTTTACAGGACTGCCACTTTGAGTAGCCTCTGTTTACAGGACTGCCACTTTGACTAGCCTTCGTTTACCGGACTGCCACTTTGACTAGCCTTCGTTTACAGGGCTATCACTTTGACTAGCCTCCGTTTACCGGACTATCACTTTGACCAGCCTGCTCTTACCCTTGTTTTATCTGTCGACTATTTTAACAAGCCTGCGTTTATCGGACTACATTCTTACTGCTGTCAACAGACAGTGAAGTTCCAGGTCTATTATGAAATAATTGTATATCAGAATTATTAAATTCCGTCAAACATTTGCTCAAATTTACAACTTGGGATTTGGAAATGAGGATACATGTGCAGAAGAAAACAAAAGTATTTAGTTTGTGGTTATAGTAGTTTCGTGATGCTTCGTTGTATTAAGGTGCGTGTACATGTTTCGTTTATACAGACTGTATCAGTTGTTCTCTCCCTAATCAATAACCGCTCTACACAAAAATACAGAGAATTAAACACCTCGCGGATTCATGTCAATGTTTAATACGTTAGATTTACAGAACCTGTACAATGTCTGTTTCCATAGCAACGCAAATATGTTCCACGTGTTCTAAGTACTGAGAACATAAAAATTAAATATTGAAGCAAACTAACAATTGCCCCGGTCTCAACTAGATAGAGTTCGTGTTAAATCGCCAAGAGAACAGAATATCATGTGGCTTGTGTGATCTTTGTCATCACGATGTAATTTCATCCTGCTTGAAATAGAATCACGTTTTGACGAAATCTGAAATTGTGAAATATGAGTATAAGGCATTTGAATGCTAATGAATATTCAAAATTGTAAAAGTGAGTGAGTAACTTTGGTTTAACGCCGCTTCTAGCAATATTCCAACAATATCACAGCTGGGGACACCAGAAATGGGCTTCACACATTGTACCCATGTGGGGAATCGAACCCGGGTCTTCGGCGTGACAAGCGAACGCTTTAACCACTAGGCTACCCCACCGCCCCGTAAACGTATGTGTTAGGGTATAGGAAATAACAAATATATTAAATTGGAACCATATGATTAATTTTTAATTGCTGCTGAAGTCCGTTTTCGATATAATTACATTAAATAATTGTAAAACTTGTAACAGAACTTTATCATTCACACCGTATGCAATCCTGAGGAATGATTGAAATTTCTTTAGATATCTGCGTATATTTGGTGGAATTGTAACCTACTTCAGAAAATATATAACATCACTCGACCATAATCACTAAATATATTATCACGAAATAACGTGCTGAATATCATATTACAAAATCACATTGGTGACCCAATAAAGATCTTCACATTTTTTGTCGTGTAACACAGCACAAACAGAAGAATCAAGTTTCAATACTTTCGAACATCATTAATGATTGACGTGATAGAAGGACCAACCAATCGGTAATGATTCATTTAAGTACGTTTTATATTTGCTGTTATTGAATATAAGGCACTGATTCAGAAAATGGTGATTCTCTTTACCTTTGTTCAAAAGGAAGATATGCAACATGGTTGTCCTGTATTGCACAAGTGATGTTGGGTGGTGGGGTATCCTAGTGGTTAAGGCGTTCGCTCTTCACGCCGAGGACCCGGGTTCGATTCCCACATGGGCAAAATGTGTGAAGCCCATTCGTGGTGTCCCCCGTGGTGGTATAGCTTGAATATTGCAAAAACCGGCGTAAAACCAAACTCACTCACTCACTCACAAGTGATGTAGGTCACTCAGTGACTTTGCTGAATTGCGACCCATAGTCGTGTCAGGATCTGCTGTTTCGGAAGCTCAAATTCCATGTTTGAAGACTGTTAACCTTAATTCAACTTATAGGAGACAAAAATAATATCTAATATAATACCTTTCTAGCTGCATAGACAAACCTTGCTTGGCTGTTTCTCATAGGTTTTTGAAGGCAAAAACGATTGCGCTGCTGGAATATTGATCGATCGACTTGCAAGGGAAGCTGAACATTGCAGAGTTGAAGTCATCCTCCTTGTAGTAAACTGTTTTGTTTTGCTTTTGTTGTCGTCACTTTAAAGTTATTCTAAATATGAACCAAATGAAGTGGTTATGTATATCCAGTTCATGTGGTTAATGATGCAGGATATCAGATCATCGATATACCTGAAACTTTAGTTGACCTTTGAAATTTAGATTTATGTAGTTCGGGAAGACGTATCGATTCGTATGCATAAAGAAACATCAACCCGTGAAGATCCGGGTTAGAACTGATCTTCAGTAACACATGCTTGTCTTTGGAGGCGACTAACGGGATCGGGTGGTCAGGCTCGCTGACCTGGTTGACACATGTCATTGTATCCAAATAGCTTAGATCGATGATCATGTTGATCACTGGATTGTCTGGTCCATACGCGATTATTTACAGACCGCCGCGAATATAGTTACATTAGAATCTTCAAAGGTTCAGGACAATTTGTTAAAAATCAAAATCAAATAAGGGAAATCCTTGACATTCTCATTGTGAACATCTGTATACAAATTTGGGCGAAGACATTCCTTGTATGGCAAATATCGGCCGGCTTGCTTGTGAAGTGACATTCATATGTTTTATATGACACTTTCTCGCAATTGCCTTATTTGATTTTGATTTTTAACAAATTGTCCTGAACCTTTGAAGATTCTAATGTAACTATACACATGGGGCTCCTTTCACGAAGCAACCTTTACTAAGGTTCACCTTAACTTCCATTCTTTAACATTGCACAAAAGGTTATTTAGTGACTTACGATCACCTTAGTGCTTTGTGAAAGGAGGCCATGGTCAACAAGTCCATTGACCAATCCCTCGGGACAAAGCAGCAACGCACTTTCAAAACAAAGGCACACAACCCACTACACCGACTTACTTGACCAAATGACAGTGTAATACTAGTATATGACACATGTATGTTTCATAAACAAACAGACCTTCAACTGCCATACAACCAATGTTTTACAAGTCGTAACATTTGTTTAATTTAATTTATAGCTCTGTAGGACGTTGTATTGATTTTGTCATTAGGCTGAGATTCCTGAGCGGGTTTCGTGCGTTTATCGGCTTTTGACATGCATATTGATGGTGTTCACGTTAATCTCATATTGCAGATAAAATTTCAACCTATCTTCCCGACTAATCAGTTTCTACATTAATGTAATAATGAAAAGTTGCGAGACCATGTCATTGTGAGTGTAAGAGAGCTGACAGCTATTAGGAATGTAACCAGGATTTAGGTCAGTAATGTCCACGGAACGAACACGGACCGTGCTCAAACAACGTTTCATGACAGGTTAATGACGGCAGAAAAACAGGTACGTGCAGGTGTAAGTAACGAGAAATTTAATCAGGTTTATTTGTTTGCAACACGTACATACACATGTGATATAACGTGCAAGGTAATAATGTCCGCATCAGATACATGGATATTGTCGTAAAACATTTAAGATAGCATTGTTTGTTTGTTGTAAGATTGTCTGCATCAGGTACATGGATATTGTCGTAGAGGATACAGGTCAGCATTGTTTGTTTGTTGTAAGATTGTCTGCATCAGGTAGATGGATATTATCGTAGATGTTACAGGTCAGCAGTGTTTGTTTGTTGTAAGATTGTCTGCATCAGGTACATGAATATTGTCGTAGAGGATACAGGTCAGCAGTGTTTGTTTGTTGTAAGATTGTCTGCATCAGGTACATGGATATTATCGTAGAGGATACAGGTCAGCAGTGTTTGTTTGTTGTAAGATTGTCTGCATCAGGTACATGGATATTGTCGTAGAGGATACAGGTCAGCCTTGTTTGTTTGTTGTAAGATTGTCTGTATCAGGTACATGAATATTATCGTAGAGGATACAGGTCAGCCTTGTTTGTTTGTTGTAAGATTGTCTGCATCAAGTACATGGATATTATCGTAGAGGATACAGGTCAGCAGTGTTTGTTTGTTGTAAGATTGTCTGCATCAGGTACATGGATATTATCGTAGAGGATACAGGTCAGCCTTGTTTGTTTGTTGTAAGATTGTCTGCATCAGGTACATGGATATTATCGTAGAGGATACAGGTCAGCGTTGTTTGTTTGTTGTAAGATTGTCTGCATCAGGTACATGGATATTATCGTAGAGCCTACAAGTTAGTATTGTTTGCTTGTTGTAAGATTGTTTGCATCAGGTACATGAATATTATCGTAAAGGATATAAGTCAGCATTGTGTGTTTGTTGTAAGATTGTCTGCATCAGGTACATGGATATTGTCGTAGAGGATACAGGTCAGCATTTTTTATTTGTTGTAATATTGTCTGCATCAGGTACATGGATATTGTCGTAGAGGATACAGGTCAGCAGTGTTTGCTTGTTGTAAGATTGTCTGCATCAGGTACATAGATATTATCGTAGAGGATATAGGTCAGCACTGTTTGTTGTAAGATTGTCTGCATCAGGTACATGGATATTGTCGTAGAGGATACAGGTCAGCAGTGTTCGCTTGTTGTAAGATTGTCTGCATCAGGTACATGAATATTGTCGTAGAGGATACAGGTCAGCAGTGTTCGCTTGTTGTAAGATTGTCTGCATCAGGTACATGAATATTGTCGTAGAGGATACAGGTCAGCATTGTTTGTTTGTTGTAAGATTGTCTGCATCAGGTACATGAATATTGTCGTAGAGGATACAGGTCAGCCTTGTTTGTTTGTTGTAAGATTGTCTGCATCAGGTAGATGAATATTATCGTAGAGGATACAGGTCAGCCTTGTTTGTTTGTTGTAAGATTGTCTGCATCAGGTAGATGAATATTATCGTAGAGGATACAGGCCAGCCTTGTTTGTTTGTTGTAAGATTGTCTGCATCAGGTACATGAATATTGTCGTAGAGGATACAGGTCAGCAGTGTTTGTTTGTTGTAAGATTGTCTGCATCAGGTACATGGATATTATCGTAGAGGATACAGGTCAGCGTTGTTTGTTTGTTGTAAGATTGTCTGCATCAGGTACATGAATATTGTCGTAGAGGATACAGGTCAGCAGTGTTTGTATGTTGTAAGATTGTCTGCATCAGGTACATGAATATTGTCGTAGAGGATACAGGTCAGCAGTGTTTGTTTGTTGTAAGATTGTCTGCATCAGGTACATGGATATTATCGTAGAGGATACAGGTCAGCAGTGTTTGTTTGTTGTAAGATTGTCTTCATCAGGTACATGAATATTGTCGTAGAGGATACAGGTCAGCAGTGTTTGTTTGTTGTAAGATTGTCTGCATCAGGTACATGAATATTGTCGTAGAGGATACAGGTCAGCAGTGTTTGTTTGTTGTAAGATTGTCTGCATTGTTTGTTTGTTATAACATTGTCTGCATCAGGTACATGGATATATTGTCGTAGAGCCTACAAGATAGCAGTGTTGGTGTGTTGTTCAACGCCTCACACAGCAATATTCGAGCTATATGACGGCACTCTGTAAATATCGATTATCAGCCAATCCAGTTATTGACATCGTGAACATCCGACGCATTTGGGATACGATGACATGCATCAACCAACTGCTCAAGCGTGACCACCCGATCCCGTTTGTCGCCTCTTACAAGCATGGGCTGCTGTAGATCAATGCTAACCCGGGTTTTCACGGGTTTCACTGCTCCCAACAGGTATAAATATGACATTTGGTCATGATGTTGGATTCTAATATTTGTCTCGTACTGCTCTATATGAACATGGAAAGGGATTTCAAGCTTTTACAGCGATAGGTGCATGCATAGATATATGTTCGTTTACAGTATGTACATTTATGTGTGACACAAGGCATAAGGTGTGGCTGTGTTTATGATGTAATGGCCTTGGCCGGCTCTGTTTGGAGCAGTCTACTGGAGGGTACAAAGCTAGTAGGGGAAATATACTTCATAGCACGTGTGTTCCTTGGAACCATGGGCACCTGTGCAATATTCCAGTTCCTGCCACTGGTGTTTTTGAAATACAATGAAGTATGGTCTTTATATCGGTTATTAAAGGCTGCAACATTCAAGGTTGAAAGCTTTCGAAAGGTTTGATGGACAAGTGTAGGTCATTATCAAATTTGAGACAACATGACCTTTCTCAGTGTTTTATCAGGGCAGCAAACTTATGTCAAGTGACGTAGGATTATATGACTCTTCTGTCACAGCAATGACCTCCTGGTAACAGACCTGTGTGCGAGATGTTCACATATCAATAGACAGATCCAGTTGTTCAGGAACACAGTGTTCAGTCCTTCTGTGAGATGTTCACATGTCAATAGACTGATCCAGTTGTTCAGGAACACAGTGTTCAGTCTGACTGTAATATGTTCACATGTCAATATACTGATCCAGTTGTTTAGGAACACATTGTTCAGTCTGACTGTCATATGTTCACATGTCAATATACTGATCCAGTTGTTCAGGTACACAGTGTTCAGTCTGGCTGTGATGTTGGATATGGTGATGTATATGAACATATTGATCTCTCAGATTGGTTCCGTGGAGTAGGGTACGCTATTTCGTCATTGCATGCCTTGTCATGCCAGATTCCTGTGACAAGATTCGTCCAGATAATGCTTTGGGGTTTGTCAAAATCACTTCCGCGATTATGTGTTAAATAAAAGTCTAAAAGACTTAGCTCTGTATACATTTCCTCCAATATCAAAGTGGCATATTCTTATATAAGTGATATGCAGTCAAAATCGGCATTTTCAATCGTTACTATAATACAGAATTACATTTTAATAATCGTCGTTGTCAACTGAGGGGGTTATCGTCGTCGATAGGCTGGTGAACACCCATAATTCATAAATGTTGTAAGGGTAACTGTATACGTTCATACATCTCTTTATCAGTGGTACGATAACATGCATATCAGACCAGATATGGATAACAAGCCATCGTTGAGTAAAATATGCAAGATAACATAAATAGTACTGTACGACTGGACGAAAAGGAAATGGAAGATTCTCCATATATTCTGGACAAGGAATGCAAAATTATGTATAAATAGGAATGCAAGTTTCTATATAATCGGAACGCACGATTCCATATATATGTTGGAATGCAAATTTTCGGATATAAATTAAAATGAAATTTCTGTATTAACATAAAATGGAAAACTTTGTTTGCTAGATTCTGTGAAAATGGGACATAGGAATAAATACTTACAGAGACACAAGAAAATGTTTAACAGAAAATGCAATATTGTATATAACAGGGACTACAAGATTTTGTATGAGTGGGAAAAGTAAGATTGAAATTAAATAGGAAAAGTAAGATTATGTATAAATAAGGAATGGAAGATGTTGTACAGGAAATGCAAGATTTGTGTTAAGTAAGAAAGGGAAGAATCTATTAAAATAAGGATACAAGATTCTCTCTAAATCGGAAATGTATGATTTTGCATAAAGTGGAATGAAACCTTTGATGGAACAGTTCCGATCAGTATGTGCATAAAGGAGGAATATTCCTAACCAAACGTCTTCTTGGAATATACATGCAACAACACGTTGGCATGATTATGCCAGCCACACAACCCCGTCAATCTTGAAGGAGAATGTGAGATTTGTTTTACGCCGTATTTAGCAATAGTCCAGCATGAGTATAACGCATTTGAATGCTAATGAATATTCAAAATTGTAAAAGTGAGTGAGTAACTTTGGTTTAACGCCGCTTCTAGCAATATTCAAACAATATCACAGCGGGGGCCACCAGGAATGGGCCTCACACATTGTATCCATAGGGAATCGAACCCGGATCTTCGGCGTGACAAGCGAGCGCTTTAACCACTAGGCTACCCCACCGGGGAATGTTAAAATGTGAAATTGTTGGTACATGTATGTCACCGAACTGAACATGGAATGGATTTATGACCATGAGATAAGAAGCGAAAACGACTCAGACATAATATCCTCCAATCGTTAGTGACTGTGATTTCACGGATACGGGTTTTGAAATGGGCAAGCTGGTGATGTGAAATTGCATGGTCGCGGTAGACGAAACACTGAAGACTATCAGATAAAACGTACATATTTAAGGCATAGATCCAAATAAATCATAAACTAATAATCATGACCTACAGATACCTATATGAGAATGTATTACAACGTCCCTAAGTAGTCATTTGTGATCATGTTTTTCTTGTCTTGCATTTTATGTTACTTAAAGACGAAAGTGAACTAATTACTTGATCAAAACAATTCTAAAGCCTAGCCCCATCATTCACACAGTCAGTTGGCTAATCGAACATTTCCTGGAATGGTTTCATTCTGCAAGATGAAAATGTCCTATTCCTTTGATCGGATTCTAGATGTCACAGACGCTACTAGGGGATT